CCTATGCAGTAGACATAAGTTCTGGTTTGTGGTTGCTTTTGTTTTGTTTTCATCAGTCCCTCCATTTTGCAGTCACCTGTTGTATGATGCTCTCTGCATTTTAACTCAAAAGCACAAGAGAAAACCTCAGGGTTTGAGATACATCCAAAGGGCCAATTCTTTTCACATAAATCTGTCTATCTGGAAACAAGGTGTTTGCATGTTATAATACCCAGGCAGGTTTATAAAAGTTCAAAGGACTGCACAGATACACATATGTACCATCAGAGTCATAATTCAATCCCCGATACATCTAACACCTAGCAGAAGGACTTAAAGTCAATGCAGTCCAAGCTGGTAGCCACCAGACACATGTCACTATTAATTTAATTTTTAATTAAAATAACACAAAATTAAAAATTCAGTTCATCAGTAACACTGTCCACATTTCAAGCTCTCAATAGCTGGTGACTACCAAATTGTACAGTGTAGATATAGAATATTTCCAGTACCATAAAAAGTTCTGTTGGATAACACTGCCTTCAATGAGTAAAACATAGGTTTCATATCAAATTACTGAGAGAATTTTTCTAATATGATTCTCTGCCTGCAGTAATGAAAACAGTTGTGATATTTCTGAAGAAATGTTAAACAAAGGGTAGTCTGGAAATACATCACTTTTTCATAGGTTGAACATAATGTAAAAGTTTACATTAACATTCACTCTTTGAAGTGACTAATACTCCAATTAAGAATAATTCATTTTGTTTAGCAAAGTTTTCTCACTATAACACAGAACTTTTGTTAACGTTGTGAACTCAAAATCTCTGAGAGAGGTCTCACTCAATTTAGAAAATTAATTTTGCCAAGGTTAAGCATGTACCCGTGACACAGCCTCAGAGGCTCTACCCCAAGGCAGTTGGGGTACAGCTGGCTTTCACACATCTTAGGAAGACATAGTTCACCAATCAATACATGTAAGATTTACACTGGTTAGATATGGAAAGGGAGGACAACTCGGTAGGAGAGAGGGGTTTCCAAGTCATAGGTAGATTTAAACATATTCTGACTGGCAATTGGTTGAAAGAGTTATTATCAGTAGAAAAAAAAAAGTCTGGGTTAAGATAAGGGGTTCTGGAGACCAAGGGAGTATTTTTGTTTTGTTTGTGTTTTTTTGTTTTGTTTTGTCCAGACTCTGTGGCCAGGCTGGAGTGCAATGGCACGATCTCGGCTCACTGCAACCTCCACCTCCCAGGTTCAAGCAATTCTCCTGCCTCAGCCTCCTGAGTAGCTAGGACTACAGGCATGCGCCACCACGCCCAGATAATTTTCGTATTTTTAGTAAAGATGGGGTTTCACCATGTTAGCCAGAGTGGTCTCAATCTCTTGACCTCGTGATCCATCCGCCTTGGCCTCCCAAAGTGCTGGGATTACAGGTGTGAGCCACCACGCCTGGTGGAGACCAAAGTTTTATCATACAGACGAAGCCTCCAAGTCGCAGGGTTCAGAGAAAATAGGTTGTAAATGTTTCTTAACAGACTTAAGGTCTGTGTTGATGTTAATGTCAGAGGGGTATAATAAGGCTTATCCAACCCCCAATTCATGGCCTGAATCAGTGTTTCAGGTTAAATTTTAGAGTGCCCTTGCTGATGAGGGAGTCTATTCAGATATCTGCGGGAGGTTAGGAGGCCCTTCAAATTTTATTTTTGCTTTACAATGTATATCTTTATCATCGCCATTTTTGGAGTTTGGGTTAAGTCAGCAATTTTCTAAAAGCTTCCCCATCTGAAAAGTGAAAAGGTTTTTCAAATTAATACATCACATTGTAGGCTGGGCGTGGTAGTTCATGCCTGTGATCCTAGCACTTTGGGAGGCCAAGGTGCACAGACTGTTTGGGCCCAGGAGTTTGAGACCAGCCTGGGCAACAAGGCAAAACCCGTCTCTACTAAAAATACAAAAATTAGTCGGGTGTGGTACACAGATGTAGTCACAGCTATGCAGGAGGCTGAGGGGGGAGGATCACTTAAGCTCGAGAGGTTGATGCTACAGTAAGCCATGATTGTACCATTGCACTCCAGCCTGGGCAATAGACAAGACTCTGTCTCAGAAACAAACAAACAAACAAACAAACAAGCAAACAAAAAAACATACTACAGTTTAAAAGTACTCTACCTGCTAAAAATATAAGAAGCATATATTACTCTAATAGCTAAATGTTAGTTCTGTAAAATCTAACTTTAGAATGTACTTTCTGAAATTTCTTTCTAAACATAAAATAAATATTTCTGCAAACATAACTAAATTTATAAAATAATACACTAATCCGGTACTAAGATTTATATTTTATATGCATAAGGTAGGTTCTTTTCTTTTGAAATATTAAACAAGCTTTCAAAAGCATGATTCAAAGTTAGTTTAGAGAAATCACACAAATTCAGTGGAATTTTCAAAGAGTTTCTAAGAACAATGGTAAACTATTTACCTACTTTTAAAAGAACAACAATGAGGCCAGGCATAGTGACTCACACCTGTAATCCCAGCACTTTGGGAGGAAAAGTCCAGTAGATCACTTGAGGTCAGAGTTCAAGACCAGCCTGGCCAACATGGTGAAACCCTACCTCTACTAAAAATACAAAACTTAGCCAGGCATGGTGGCGCATGCACCTGTAGTCCCACCTATTTGGGAAGCTGAGGCAGGAGAATTGCTTGAACCCAGGAGGTGGAGGTTGCAGTGAGCTGAGATCGTGCCACTGCACTCCGGCCTGAGCAACAGAGCAAGCTCCATCTCAAAAAAAAAAAAAAAAAAAAAAAAAACACTTAAGTATTTTTGCTCTAAGCTCTCTTGGGAGGGCAAAATATGTGTTTATTTTCAAATACTACATTAAAACCTCAAGGAAACTTCATTTTAATAAAAATAATCTTCAATATAAATCTTCAGGACATCTTTAGTGCTCATCAGCACCCTCTAGAGTCAATTATAGTTCAGAGTGAATCAGATCTTAAATTATTTAAAATAAAAATAAAATATAAATTATTTTTAAGGAACTTAAATCATATATCATCATTTCCCTTCAAGAATTTCAAAATTTATTACTAGAAATTCACATATCATGTTTTTTCTAAAAGTGAGTTCACTCTGGCAGTCTCTGTGCTATTTATGTGGTTTTGCAGAAGATGGTTATCCTTTTGAAAGTCTACCATGCAAGGATCCCTGCTTTAAAACCTATAAGTCACGTATTTTTATGTCTAATTGTCCTTTATATGCCTAAATTGTAAGAATCACTCTAACTGTAAAAAGGTTTGCAGAAGATTTGCTCCATTAAAAGAAGATAAAGAAGAAAACACATTCCTTGAGTATGTAGAAAACTTCAAATGACAACTCATTGTAAGGATAGTTGGCTCAGGTTTTTGTAAGGGTTAAGAAAATGAAAGCCTCTGTCTACTGTTTCTCAACTATCACCCACTATATTCTTTTAGGGAAACGGATCTCCAAATTGTCCCCAACACAAAACCATCAAGCCTCCTTTAACATTTCAGCTTCAACCGAGTGATCTAGTGCTCCCTACGTAGGACAGAAACACCAGCAGTTTAGCATCCCCTAACCCTGGCTCCATTCCCCAGCCCAGAGTTGCACACGTACCAGCCCATGTTCTGAACATTTGCCTCTGTAACCTTCTCAGGTGCTCAGTCACACGTAGTTACCATTCACAATGATGAAGCCCAGTGTTCGCCAAGAGATCAAGTTCAGGCCAAGTCACAGAATTCAAGCCAACTCTCTCTCTTTTTTATTCAAAAAAGGGGGAGAGTCATAGTCAGATCACAGTTTTCTGAGTGCTTTGAATATACAAGTAGCAGCAAAATGTTTCTTGTTTATAACCACTTAAGAGTATTTTTTGGTCTTTTCAAAAAGTTTAAAAAATTAAAAGTTATTACTTGAGTTCATTCCAGGGGAGAAAAAAATCCAATTACTCACCTCCTAATAGACTTGCCTAATGTTTCTGGTACATCCTACCAGAGTGGACAAAAAGGCTGCAAAGCATTGCATCAAAGACATTAAGTCAGAGAAGTGACAATATATCCTTCTTTAATTCATCAACAAACTCACAAAGAGGAAGACTTATGCATAATAGTCTTGCTTATGGGCAACGCCTGTAATCCCAACACTTTGGGAGGCCAAGGCAGGCAGATCACCTGAGGTCAGGAGTTATAGATCGGCATGGCCAACATGGCAAAACCCCGTCTCTACCAAAAATACAAAAATTAGCTGGACATGGTGGTGCACGCCTGTAATCCCAGCTACTCAGGAGGCTGAGGAACAACAATCACTTGAACCTGAGAGGCAGAGGTTGCAGGGAGCCCAGATCACACCACTGCACTCTAGCCTGGGTGACAGAGCAAGGCTCTGTCTCAAAAAAAAAAACAGTCTTGCTTACAAGGGGTGAAAACAACTTCTCTCTTTTATGTAGAAAATAGCTATGCAGCTTGAACTTTACCTGGCTGTGTTATATCCTCTCCTTTGCTGCATGTTACCTGAGCTATTTCACTGCCCTGTGTTTTCTCCACTGGAGGGCAGAGTTAGCTCAAAAAAAAGGGAATTTTGGTTTGTTCTATAGTTCCAGAAAAGGTATGGGCGAGAAAGAACGTTACAGTTGCTATTGGGAAGGATGTTTCAGTAATATTTTGGAATTTAATTTATCTCTGTTATCCTTGAAAACCATTATAAAAGATAATCACTAACTGGCTAATAGCCAAATATGCTCCAAATACTACTATCTATGAAGTATAAATAAAAGATGATGTGGAAAACAAGGAAGATAAAATACAATGGTAGAGATGATCCATTTTAGGCACACAGTAACCTAAAGAATACATACAAATAGAAATTCTCCTTTTCAACAATAGTACACCCAGCTGCTGCAGCCTCAGTAAGACATCTCCATGAAAATGTGGTGAACCATTTAGTTCTTTTGCAATGACAAAATTCATATGTTCAGCAAAAATGGGGTTATTTTTATTTTTTGCATAATCGTTTGAGTTGATCCAATGGGAGATGCAATTCAGCATTTCATTCACAGATGCCTTTTCTTTATAAACCTAATCAGTCCTAAGGGTGTAATGCAAAATATTTTCAGTATGTTTAGGAGAAAAATTAATAAAGAGATCCATATTTACTGCACTTCTAGATAAAGTCAATAAATGTATAGTTTTCAGAGAAGTAAGTAAAACAACAGCCTATTGTTGCTTTAAAATTGCTTTAGAATAAAACTGTCATTCATTTTCAGCTTACCAATAAGTAATGTGATTACCTCTAGGCTATTACCCAGAATATCAGGTTTTATTAGGTCAACTGACAAAATATAATAACTCATGCTATGGAACTGAAGGTTTGTATCCCCCCAAATTTGTATGTTGAAGCTTAAATCCCCAGTGTGATGGTATTTGGGGGCGTGGTCTTTGGGAGGTAATTATTAATGGGTTTAATGCCCTTACAAGAAGAGACATAAGCATGTGAAGATACCATGAAAGACAGCCATCTGCGAGCTGGAAGCGTGCCCTCACCAGACATCAGCAGCCTTGATCTTGGACTTCCCAGCCTCCAGAATTGTAAGAAATAAATTTGTTTTGTTTCAGCCATCCAGTCTATAGTATTCTGTCCTAGCAGCCCAAAGTGACCAAGACAACTTAGTTTTTGTTACAGACAGTCCACTTTAATTTCTGTAAGGTAAAAAGTGGGCCAAAAATAACGGGTGACATTAAGTCTTCAAAAAAAATTATCCTAAACATCATGTATATTTAAACAAATTATGCATGTTATTTTAGAAGTGATTCACTAAAGAAAACATAATTCTACAAAATTCAGTGGCAACCAGACCCATCGCTAAGAGAAGAGGAAATTCCATTTGCCTGGTAAGACACTTGATAACTCCCAATACTTCTCCCTACTTATTTAAATTGTGACTATCTCTCAGAAGCGTATTCTAGGCAAAGGGATAAATTAGTACAACGTTTTTGCTGTAAATACACAAGAAATAGCAAGGAGGACAGTATAGCTGGAGTAAAGAAATTTCATCCAGGTCTCAGTCTAAATGTCAACTTAATGAGAAAATCTTCCTCAACCACCATCCTATGTAAAAAAGCAGGGATACAAACTTCCTCTTCATCTTCCTCTATTATTCTAACATCTACTTTATTTTTCTTCCAATTACATTTTACCACCAAACTTAGCAAATGTTTGCTTACTGCCCATCTTTCCTCATTAAACCACAAGCTCCATGAGAGCAAAGATTTTGCCCATTTTGTTCACTGCTACACCCCTAGACACTGCAAAGTGTCTGACATACCAGAGGTGATCAATTATTTATTGAATCAATTAAATAAAAGAATAACTATGGGAGTATGTGGAGAACCTAAGAATAGATGACATAACTTCCCTGATATTACATCTTACCCTTGATGATCTATCTATGGTATACGTCATATCCCTGATATGAGGCATCAGTACCAAATAAGGGGCAGAAATGATAGTAATATAAAAATATAACAAAAAATAGAAAAAGAGGCATAAAAATTCCAAAATTAAAACCAGTAATAATAGCTTTCCTATTTTTCTTGTACTTGCCTTTGGCCCATTAGCAAAGAATCAAGATTCTTTTACTAGTCAGCATAATACTGTACCTTAAATAAAGGAAGAGTCATCTTTCCAAGATCCAATGAGTATTTGAGTGCTTCTCCTATAAAACTATAAAGCAGGAAAAGAATGCACACCCCCCAACCCCCACAACACACACACACACGCACACACACACACCCCTCTCTTCATTCACAGGGTAAAGCTTGACTAAGTTACTGAATCTCTTTTATCAGAAAGGATACTCCCACACAAAAAGGCAGCTTCCCTTGAACCCTAAGCAACAGTGCATGACTAGAGTCTTCACAGACTGAGAGGATTCATTTCTTTTTTTCTGTTTTGATACAGAGTCTCATTCTGTTGCCCAGGCTGGAGTATAGTGGTGTGGTCTTGGCTCATTGCAACCTCCACCTCCCAGGTTCAAGTGATCCTTCTGCCTTAGCCTCCCAAGTAGCTGGGATTACAAGCTTGCATCACCATGACTGGCTAATTTTTGTATTTTTAATAGAGATGAGGTTTCACCATCTTGGCCAGGCTGGTCTCTAACTCCTGACCTCAAGTGATCTGCCCACCTTGGCCTCCCAAAGTGCTGGGATTACAGGCATTAGCCATCGTACCCAGCCTGAGGATTTTATTAACCTAGAATCTTTTTAGACTTAGGCCTTATATTATTTCTATTAAATAATATCTATCTTCTTTTTAAAAGCAATATTTATACACACACATCAGGATCTCCTGGTTCTTAAAGTCTACATCAGTAAGGACATACCACCACCCACCACCAGGGATACAAAGTAAAGTCCATGTCCCTGAGTTTCATACATCTTTGCTCCAGCTTTTCAGTGACCCAGATGGTACATTTCCCCACCATTTTTATCTTAAAAATGAAGAAATTTAGGCCAGGCACGGTGGCTCATGCCTGTAATCCCAACACTTTGGGAGGCCAAGGCAGGCAGATCACGAGGTCAGGAGATTGAAACTACCCTGGTCAACATGGTGAAACCCCGTCTCTACTAAAATACAAAAAATTAGCCGGGCATGGTGGCTCACCACCTGGAGTCCCAGCTACTCGGGAGGCTGGAGATGGGGAATCACTATGAACCCAGGAGGTGGAGGTTGCAGTGAGCCGAGACTGAGCCACTGCACTTCAGCCTGGCAACAGAGCAAGACTCTGTCTCAAAATAAATAAATAAATAAATTAATTAATTAATTTACCAGCCTGGGCAATACAGTGAAACCCCATCTCTACAAAAAATACAAAAATTAACCAGGAGGGATGGCATGCACCTGTAGTCCCAACTACTAGAGAGGCTGAGGTAGGAAGGATTATTTGGGCCAGGGTGCTCAAGACTGCAGTGAGTGTGCCACTGCATTCCAGCCTGGGTGATGGAGCAAGACCCTATCTCAAAAAAAAAAAAGAGAGAGCGAGAGAGAAAAAAGAAATTTAAATGCCATTGAATCTGTAACCTCATACTTCCCAAACAAGTAACATCTGAAATGGATTTCACAACCTTTATACTAATACATTAACATGGAAAAGTGGCAGATTTAAGACTATACCCCCAGGATAATGAATACAATTGGCTTTTCATTGGCTTTGGAACATAATGAGAGAGAAATATGCATTAAGGACAATAACATATCTGCCTCACTTCATAGCCAGTCCTGATTCTTTTCAATCCCCCAGATTACCAGGTACTTGCTAAAAATGCAGTAACTAAAATAGCCAGTCCTGATTCTTTTCAAATTCAGTTTAACTACTTTGAGCCACAGTCCCCCAGATTACCAGGTACTTGCTAAAAATGCAGTAACTAAAAGCAAAGCATCCTAAGAAACTTACTGCAAGTTAACTGAAAAGCCAAAAAAAAAAAAAAAAAAAAGCCAATATTCCTGAATCATTTGTTAATAGTTCTCAAAGAATAACAGCAATAAGACAATTATCACATATCTCTACTCTTTGGTTTTATAAACTACACACCTGGGCACTAAAATAATTTAATGACCTGATATGGACAAGAACTCAATATCCAGCATAATCAGGAATAAGAGTTTATTCAGTGAGACTTGCAACCAGCAGCCATTTCCCATACAAAAGTCGTCTCCTTTCATCCATTTCTGTATTCAAATGAATAGCAATAAATTAAGTTCACCCAAAACCCACAGGACTTTAAATCAATTATAAAATTTCATTTGAAACAAGAAAATTTCCCTCCTTTTCTACTGAATCTGTAGCTTGGGATGGTTTCAGCTGAAACTAACAGATATAGCCTGAAAAAACAGAATTTGTTATCTCAAAATAACAGGAAACATTAAGGCACTTCCAGAGTGGGCAAAATGAGTGGGTCAGGGACAGCATCAAGATCCCAGAAGCGTTCCACCTTCTTCTCTGTGATCCTCAGTGTGCTGGTTCTTTTTCCAGTTTGTTCCATCTGGTCATCAAGGTGACTGCAGGTATCCCATCCTCACATAATAACACCCTTCCTTCTGCCTCGGCCTCCCAAAGTGCTGGGTCTACAGGCGTGAGCCACCATGCCCAGCCAATAAAGATAATTTTTAAAAACCCATCTGGGCCGGGTGCAGTAGTTCACTATTACAAACCAAGCTCTGGTATCGAGAAGATATTTGGCTAAAAAGCCTTCATGGATAATCCACTGTTTTCTTCTAGGGCTAGTCCAGTGTTTCCCAGAATGCATGATCTTTTGAGACAGTCTCACTCTGTCTCCCAAGCTCAAGCGATTCTCCTGCCTCAGCCTCCTGAGCTGCTGGGATTATAATCAGGCATGTGCCACCACTCCTAATTTTTGTATTTTCTGTAGGGATGAGGTTTCACCACGTTGGCCAGGCTGGTTGAGAACTCTTGACTTGCAATGATCCAAACACCTTGGTCACCCAAAGTGCTAGCATTATAGGTGTCAGCCACCGCACCTGGCCCCCAAAATGTATGACCTTAAGAATCATCATATCTGTTTAAAAATACATGCTCCTGTGCTCTTTTCTTACAGATTTTGATTCTGTAGCTCTGTAGCAAAGCCCTAGAATATAATAACAAGCACATTGGATTGATTCATATGATCCAGATGAGTTTGAATACTGCCATGATATAAACAGACCCTTTTCTCTTTTGAGACAGGATCATGCTCTGTCACCCAGGCTTGAGTGCAGTGGTGCAATCACAGCTCACTGCACCCTCAACCTCCTGGGCTCAAACAATCCTCCCACCTCAGCCATCTGAGTACTAGAAATACAGACACGTACCGCCATGATGCCTAGCTAATATTTTTCCTTTTTTTTTTTTTTTTGCCCTGCCTTATCTCCAACTCCTGGTTCAAGCAATCCTCCTACCTCAGCTTCTCAAAGTACTGGAATTACAGGCATGAGCCACCATACCTGGCCAACCTTTCACTTTCAAGCAATATTTGAGAAACCCTCCAACTTATAAGCTCTTGTGCAAGTATTCAAATGGCCTTAAAAATCACCTTTATTCAGCAACTTTGTCAGTAAATTAGAAAGAACATGTTGCCTAGACTCAGAAAACCTAGATCCAATTTCATCTGCTACTCACTAGCTGTGCAACCCTTCTATCAGTCACTGCATCTCCATCTGGTCTTGGTATATTACATGGAAATAACAAAACCAACCCTAACCTGCCTCATAGGGTTGTTACGGAAATAATTCAAGAATACTTGAAAAGGGCTTTGGAAATTAAAATGTCACCATTACAGTAGCATTTTATTAAATCAACCTGCTCTGATTCAGAATGTGTGAATGTTGTTGTCTAGTCCAATGTGGCTTTTTTTTCTTCACATTATCTATAAGGAGATCATCACCTGCTTACACATGACAGGCAGTAATAAGCACTGGAACATACAGATAAGAAGTAGCTTCCTGCTCCACAGCAAAATTATAAGATTGGATGAGCAAGATCAGGGGAGCCTGTCTTCTGTATAAGTACTGCTTCTACAGGACTAGAGTCTCAGGTACCAGTAAAGCAAAGCTGGCAATATTCCTACTGGAAGTTAGCTTGGTTATGAGCAGTTAATGCCAGTCATTACAGTAAAATCAATTGGAAGAATAAGTGTTCTACAGACTAGGAATATTAAAGGATTTTTTTAAACTGGTATTTAAATTTCTAAAAAATATTATATTCTTTTTTGGCCACCTTGAGGAACATATACTAAATGCAATATTTCCCTGGCAATTAAGTGTCATCAACATAATCAGTAGTTTGGGGCAAAAGCACAGATGAGACTCTAAATAAGAGATATTAGATCAATTAACTTAGCTTGCACTACTATATACAATGAACAAATGCTCCCCAGTCTTAACGTCTATGTAGGGTGTACCAAGAGCATGGCACAATGGTGTGTCCTCAAGGGCTAAAAAGGTACATGTCATTCTTTAAGAATTCAGGCTCCTGTACAGAGAGGGCTGTTTCTTGCCTCATACTAGTTTCAGGAATGAAGTCCAGTTCTGCCAGCATCCTCATCATTACCACTAATCACCTCTGCTTTTCCTCCTCACCACTTTTATCTAATTCAACCCTGACAAATCTCTTCCACTTTGCTGTCAGAGCCTGCTGTCCATCACTCCTATCATTGCTTTTAATCAATCTACCACAGATGGATCCACCACTTCTGCCCTTTGCCACTGAACTGTCTGGCTTAGCCATTCTCTAACTGGATGCATAAGCTTGGGCAAGTCATTACCTTTTCCAGCCGTATTTCCCTAATAACTGAAATGAAGAGGTTGCTAACATCCCTTCCAGTTCTGCTATTCTACCATTATTCTCTTCAGCCTCCTAAGGATTTTTTTCATTTTCTCAAGTTTTTTCACAGAATGGCTAAGCTTGTGTAAAGACTGTCAACCAACTATAGTATTCATTTATTTCCATGAAGCAAATAAACTATATACTCAATGTTCTATGGTTAACTTTATAGCAGTTTCTGGTTCCATACACTTACCATCCAATGTCTTTACTATCAAAGAGATTTTCCAGGGAATTTGATTCAGAGTCTTCAACAATTCAAAATGACTCGTAATTCCAGAAGGTATGGACTTATTGTATCACATTTTCAAAATTAAAAACTACACTTTGGTCAACATATCCTAGAGTTTAATTTTTCACAAATTAGTCTTACCAATTAGTGAGGCTATACTAAAATTTTAATTGGAGAAATCTCTCTTAGTAAAGGAAAATCTACTCGCAACAATTTTGTAAAGATTTGGAAATTCATAATAAATATACTACCAAATTTATATTAAATGTGGCAGAGTGTTCAGTTCCCTGTAACAATTTCCCAATGCCACAGATGAAGAAAGGTTAGCCTGTTACCAATACTATTCAAATACATCATTTTAATCTCAGTGCATTATGAGTATGACAGCCCTGCTATCGTAACTCTTTAACCAGTCTTTGTCTAACCAGCCTTGGTTTATTTTCAATCTAGCTTTAGATGTATAGTACTTGAGGTTTCAGAAGAGAAAAAACAGTGTACAAATTATTTTGCAAAGTAAGACAAAAAATAGAAAACTAATGCAAAACACCTGACCCCCAATTGAAATACAGCAGAACCTCAAGGAAAAAAAGCATTCATTCATGAAATATTATAGTACAAATATACTTTTGAGCAAATAAAGTGATACATGTACATATATATGTATATACACACACATGACTAATAAGGTAAACTGTGAAAAAGCCCACCAGAATGAATAAAAGTACTATTAGCGTTCCAAAAGTGCACAATCACTACCATCTAGAGAGCTCTCAGCACAAAAAGTCACAACTGACACTTTGAAACATGAGTAGAATTTCACAACAACTGACACTTTGAAACATGAGTAGAATTTCACAAACAGGAAGAATGTGGAATATGAGAAAGGGCACCTCAAGCAGAGTGAGGCCAACATTCAACAACCACCAAAACCTACTAAATGCCTCTGCACAAGCAAGGCCTTGGAGGCTACAAGAAGCGGGAAAGCACAGGCATGTATGGGACACAGGAAGTGATCTAGGATGCATCCAAGGAAGGGTGCAAAGGACATGACTTCAGAAACAGACACAAGGTCAAGATCAAAAGGGCTAAGGAGCTTGATGTTTGCATAGACATTATGAAACTTCTGACATTTTTGCGTAAGGTGTAAGGAAAGGGTAACTCGATTGAAGGTTTCACCGGTAGATTAAACTTGCGCCATAGCAAGTGTAAGATTTGGTCGAGAGGCAATATATTAGGAGAACATAGAGGAAAATATGGATGCAAGAGACTATTTGGCAATTTCCTGTCTAGAGGTGCAAAGGAAAATATGATTCTAAGACTTAGAGATGAGGGAACAAACTGGCCACCTGATGCATCTGGGCACTGACACAATTTATTTGGTCCACAGAGTAAACCTGAGAAATTTGCATCAACTCTAAACAATTAAGAAACTTTCTGTGTGAAAATCTAGATTTGGGCTGCTGGTGAAGATCTGAGAGGACTGTGTCAGTGTTGCTTAAGGGTGACACTAGAGACCATGCCTGGTGACCTGGACAGTGTCCTGACATGCATTACACCTGGTCCACTTCACTCATTTACTTTACCTGCCTGTGGCATCAGAATTTGCCATCTTTGATTTGAAGTACTGTGACTAGCAAGATGAGGACGTAATTAGCAAAAACAAGGAAGTCCAGAACAGGCTGGGGAGAGTAGAAAAGCTAAATTACAGTCATGCTAAAATTGACAACTTTGATACTCATCTAGAAGGGAATATGCAGAAAGTCTTCAGATATTTGAGGAAAAGTCGGGAAAATTTTATGTGGATAAAATAAGATTCACCCCATCAGATAATACCTGCTAGCATTTCTATAGTATTTACTATTAAAATGTCAGGTACTGTTCTCAGTAGTCTAAGTATTCCCCACCTATTAAATCAGCCCCATTTAATCAGTATTTCAAATCTATAATTATCCCAATTTTACAGATGAGGAAACTGAGGCACACAGAAATTAAGGTGATATCACTGTAACCAGCTGAGCTGGGATTCAAAAGTAGGCAATCTAGTTCCAGAATCTGTATTAGGAGGACTTCTTCCTGAAGTTAGTCTATATTTTTAGATTACATAATTTCATTTTTAGGGGTTAGAAAACTGCTAATATTTGTTAGATTTGTGGCTGATAAGAGAATGTAGAAAGAGAAGATAATTCACAAAAATCATTACCCCTTAATCATATAAAGACTGGAAGCCAGACACTGCTGGGACACATGCCTATAGTCCCAGCAACTCAGAAGGCTGAGGCAGGAGAACTATAGAAACAAATGATGCTCTTAAATAAATGTCACTTAATATCCATAAAAACACATCAAGGACTATACTAGAACCTCACTTACACCTCATTTAACTGTCAGAATAATCCTGAAAAGTATCATCCCCCTAAAAAATGAAAGAAGTTATGTTCAGAGGTTAACTATTTTTGCCTAAGGTCAACCAGCTTGGTAACAGCACAACTTGCCCAACTGACTCCAAAGCCAATCTGTTTGTTAGCTATACTGTTTCTCAATGTAATACTCTTGAGAGGCACCAATTGTTCAAGTTCTTAAACTGTTTAGCCCTTCCTCCCTTCCACAATGACTAGGTTATTTAAATGGAAATAACTTCACGAAATGGTGGCAAAGGTAACTTTCCAGAAACTGGATAGTTTTCCTGGAACTGCCAGTTAGAGATAGGGCAAACACATTGTTCGGCTAGACAAAAATCAACAAATAAAACAAAGCATTCTTTCTGATACAAATTTGTGGCAAGCTTCTCAACTACCACACCATGGTATTACGGAGTTACCACGACAAAGCAATAATCTAGTTTCAGGGTTTCAACAACCTCCATCACTCAGTTCCTGTAAGAGGGGCACTTCCCATACCACACTGATAGATTTTTCTCCCAGAGAGAAATGGTCTCTGAGAGATGATAACCAAAAAGTGCACAGAAGTGGCATCCCTTACAAAAAGTGTAAATTCTCATTTTATTTTACTTATTTAATTTTTTTTTTTTTTAAAGACAGAGTGTCATTCTGTTGCCCACGTTGGAGTGCAGTGGTGCGATCTTGGCTCCATGCAACCTCTGCCTACCGGGTTCACGCAATTCTGGTGCCTCAGCCTCCCAAGTAGCAGGGACTACAGGTGTGCACCACGACAGGTGTACATCAGCTAATTTTCGTATTTTTAGTAGAGATGTGGTTTTAGCATGTTGGCCAGGCTGGTCTGAAACTCCTGGCCTCAAGTGATCCACCCGCCTCAGCCTCCCAAAGTGTTGGAATTAAAGACACGAGCTACTGTACCCGGCCAATTGTCATTTTAAAAAGGGAATTTTAACTGAGGTTATCTGAATACCTCACACTGGCCTATCTCTGTGTGACAATGTTTTCCCAAAGAGGGTTGGCAATAACTTTAAGGAAGTCACAGAAACAAGAAATTCTGCTTACAGCTTCGAACTCAACAGTGTTACCTTTCTGCTTAAAATGACCTCCACTGCTTTCCACTACTCCTAAGATAAAGGCTACCCCCGCTTGTTACCCTTCCTGCCTCTCCAGTCCCATGACACTCATGTCTGACCTTTCCTGGCTCCAGTCACTCAGCCCTCGTTTCATGAGGGCCCTGACCTTCCCTGCCCTAGGAATTGAGCTGCTATTCCTTCTGCCAAGAATGTTCTTCCATCTGCCCTACCTGCCACTCCAGCTCGTTCACTTGCTCTCACCCACCAGATCTCAGCTAAGTCATCGCTTATCCTGGGCAGCTCTAGAACCTTCCCTCACAAACTCTCATAGGACCAAGAACATCCCGATCCCACCACTTACCACAGCACAATTTATTCATTTGATTACTGTTTGCCATCCCCCTGCTATTATAAGGTCTATAGTTGACACTCAACAGTATTTGCAGTGGAGAAACAGGCAAATGAATAGTATTATGTCACTCTCCCCCAAGCCCAGTAAGGGTTCTGTTCACCCTGCCTCCCTAACCTTAATCTCAATCCATCCCTGATGACATGCATGTGAATTGCTACATTTTGCTAAGAGTGACAAGAAGGGAAATGAAATAAAGGACACACTATTTTAAAAATATACATTTAACTTATCCTTATCTACAAATAGCTTTTAATGGCACTGAAACTGGGCTATTCAAATCCATTTACCCATGCATTCTAAACTTAAAAATTTTGTTATCTAAATCTTCTGACATATTTTTTTGAAACTGAAAGAAATAAATTGTCCTCAATTCAACCAACCAAAATCAACAACAACAACAAAAATTAGTTTTTTGGTTTTTTTTTTTTTTGGGGACGGAGTTTCGCTCTTGTTACCCAGGCTGGAGTGCAATGGCGCGATCTCGGCTCACCGCAACCTCCGCCTCCTGGGTTCAGGCAATTCTCCTGCCTCAGCCTCCTGGGTCGCTGGGATTACAGGCACGCACCACCATACCCAGCTAATTTTTTGTATTTTTAGTAGAGACGGGGTTTCACCTTGTTGACCAGGATGGTCTCGATCTCTTGACCTCGTGATCCACCCGCCTCGGCCTCCCAAAGTGCTGGGATTACAGGCTTGAGCCACCGCGCCCAGCTTAAAAATTAGTTTTAAAGCTCAACACTCAGTTGCAAGTAGCAATGGTAATCTCAGTTATCTGACAATGTAGTCACCCAGATATCAACTTCTTTTTATTTAATCTTATCCTGGCAATTAGCTCAGGTAATCAGAGCACAGTGCTACTAAGGCTAATAATACTATTAATGATAACAAATTACCAAACACTTGTGTACTATCTGTTTCACAGAGAATGAGTATTCTCATTGACCCTTCACAACAAGCCTATGAAATCTGTAGGGAAGCTAGAATTCAAGTCTAGGTTTGGGTCTCCAAGTTCAGGTTTGACCTCTAAATAGGAAGGTTAGTGTTGCACAGAAAGAAAGAACAGAAATAAATAAATAAATAAATAAAAACAAACCAGGGCAGGAGCAATAGGGGCAGGTGGGAAGGGGAGTGAGGGAAGAAGATACACAGAGAATATAGATTCAAGATCTCTAATCCCGGGAAACCTCCCTTTTTAGTTTTCCTCCAAATGAGATAAAGGTATGCTTCTAGGTCCAATCCTTCAGTTGCCTCTGTTTCCTCTTATGTAGACTCCAGCACTAGTACTTGAAGGCTGCCCTGCCAACTCTAATCTAGAGAACTTGTTACATTTAGGCACACAGACTCCCTTTTGGGAGCCAAAGGGCAGAATGAACAAATATTCAAAAACATTTATGACTAAGTTTGTTTCTCTGCCTTCCCTCACCTCCCCTGCCTTTGTGAAAAGTATAACCTATGTAATGACTGCTGTGATCAACATCAGCTCACCAGTAAGTACAGTTATCTATATCCTAACATTAGAATGTCAACAGCAAGAATATGACATTTACCAAGCTGGACCTCCAGGGAGTCACTAAATCCATTCAAGAATGCCAGAGCGATAGAAAATAGCATTCGAAGTCAACCCCCGCCGTTCTGATGACTGTCAAACCCTTTGCTTTGTTAAGCACCTTAGTAACTTTCCAACATTTTCTCATATGACAACAGGATTCATGGTTGCAAATCTGAAGAAAACCCCAAGCTACTTGATCCTAAAATGTGCCAACTATTCTGCAATGCTTCCAGAAAAATCACGAATGTGCAAATTTGAAATTGTGCCTTCTTTTCGTCTGAGATTTTTCTTAAAAACAAACCAAAAATTTAAATTTTAAAAAGTTAAAGTGTGTCTTCAATCAAAAAACTTTTAATAAAATTTGTAGATATAAAGAAATCTACTCCCAAGTACTCATCCAGTCTGTAGGCCAATCACCAACATACAGTGTATGTATATTGCAGAACAAATGACTTGGTTTTAAATCTTGACTCTGCAACTCAATACCTATGAAACCGTAGTCAATGAAAGCAATTTACTTAAGCCTCTGATTCTTCCTCTATCCACTGGGGAAAATGGAGCACAGCTCAAAGAGGTTAAAAAGTAATCTCAAGTTCCTGGCACATTTCCAGCATCCATTCAATAAATGATAGTTACTAATATTTCTTCTGGGTTGTCAATTAAATAACTAACATTTCATATATAATTCTTCAAGTCATGTGCTATCACAAACTCTTGTTAAAGAAAGCCACCTACTATTAACGAGCTCTAGTTGCACAAGTATTCTTCAGTCATTTGACGTTAACCCTGTGCAGTTAACCAATGTGAAAATAGAAACTGATGTCGCCTGTGATTTTGAGAATCCTTTGATTCTTGAGCATGGCTAAGCAAAGCATGTTTTCATGAATAGTTTCTCCAAAGGAGAACCACACCATTCCATGTCATTTTTAAGTCCTCACTATCTACTGAATTAGGAGAACTGTGGAATACTACAAAGCCAAATGGGTTCCATCAGCAACCCGAAGTGACAACATCTTAGGAACTTGCTAATGTAATCGTGCAGAGGGCAAAACAAAGGGTTGAAGACTTTTTGTGAAATCTAACCTTACTCCACAGAACCGAATATTCTTCAGCAATAAAGTACAGATTCCACAGTAGATGAAACTTGGAAAACATATGCAAAAATCAAAGAAGCCACTCACCAAAAAAAAAAAACCTATTGTATGATTCCATTTATATGAAATATTTAGAACAGGCAAACCTACATAGACAGAAAGTAGATTGGTGGTTGACTAGGGCTGGAGCAGGTAGAGGTCAGGGAGTGAGGCCTAATGGGTACGGTGTTTCTTCTAAGGAAGATAAAAATGTTCTGAAACTAGATTTGACGATGTTTGCACAACCCTGTAAAGTTAAGTAAAAATCTTGAATTGTACACTTTAAATGGGCAAATTGTATGGTGTATTGATAATATCTCAATAAAGTTGTTTGTAAAAATCTAACTCACTGATTAGTGAATCCTTTATTCTTCACTGCATGGAAAGATAACCTCTTCATTAAAAACTAAAAATAAGTGCTCAGAGTGCTGTCTTATGTTTAAAGTTATAAAATATCTTGACTTTGGAAGTCTACTTACCTTGCCTTTGCATCTATCGTCTCCACTTTATTTCAACAGCAATCATTTTAGATGAACTCCAGTAATGGAAACTACTCAAATACATGCAAAATATATTTATGCTCAAATCACATTCTACAGATTACATTTTTTATTGCTGTACAGCAGTGACTGTTCTTTCCTTTATTTAGCACAAACTGACCACTTATCAGTCTTCTTTTGATTATTTGCTACATTGACCTTCGAACAACTGAAACTCTACATTCACAGGATCTCCTTTGTTCTCCTAAGAAATCCAGGAAATATTCGTTGACAGACAAAGGAGTCTTACTACTAAACTGACTAAACCCACCTGCTAGGGGTGTAGGGAACACAGGGGATTCACCAGAGTGGGAATATTACTGGTGAGAACCAGGAAAAAGAGATGGCCCAGCTCTTGATCAGGAGATAGGGATAAATTACAGTATGGGCCTAGTAATGGACAGTCTTTTTTTTTTTTTTTTTTTTTTTGAGATGGAGTTTTGCTCTTGTTGCCCAGGCTGGAGCACAATGGCTCGATCTCAGCTTGCTGCAACCTCTGCCTTCCAGGTTCAAGTGATTCTCCTGCCTTAGCCTCCCGAGTAGCTGGGATTACAGATGCCCACCACCACAACCAGCTAATTTTTGTATTTTCAGTAGAAACGGGATTTCATCATGTTGGCCAGACTGGTCTCGAATTCCTGACCTCAGATGATCTGCCCGCCTCGGCCTCCCAAAGTGCTGGGATTACAGGCGTGAGCCACCGAGGCCTGCCTAGACAGTCTTAAAAGCCTAACAACACTAAGGAATCTGTTATCTGGAATATTTTTACTAATTGCGAAGCATAACTGTACTTCAAGTTTTTTTCAGTTTTTATTCCTAAGTTTAGAAGAGCCAATTTGTGAGAAAAGACAAAAAGCGAGAATCCACAATTTCTGCCCCTCAGATCCTAAAATCTAAGGCAGAGAGATTAAACATACGCACATGAAGATACTCACATGGAGAGACTAAGAATATCAAGAATAAAAATATACTATCAATTCAACATTACTAATATGGAATACTTAAAATATTTAATTGGTTATAAAAAGAAAAATATTAAATATTAGTACTAGAAAGTAGTCCCAGTTACTCAAGAAGCTGATGTGGGAGGATCACTTGAACCCATGAGTTTGAGGCTGCAGTTAGCTATGATCACACCACCACACCACTGACCTACAGGCTGGGCAACAGAGTGAGACCGTGTCTCAAAAAAAAAAAAAAAA